TTTGTACTGGGGGTTGAACCTAGGGGTGCTCTACTCTGTGTCAGCTTTTTCACTGCTATGACTAAAAGACTCGGCCTGCACAACTGTAGAGGAGTAAAGTGTATTTAGYGGCTCACCGTTTCAGAGGTCTCAGTTCATATTCCGCTGGCTCCATTCCATGGGCCCGAGGTGAGGCAGAACATCATGGTGGGGAGCGTGGCTGAGGGAGGTGGCCCACGGGATGACCAGGAGGCAGTGAGAGACACCACTTATCAGAAACAAAATATATACCCCTAAGCCACGCCCCAACGCCCACCTCCTCCAGCCATGCCCCACCCACCTTCAGTTACCACTCAGTTAACCCCCAGGGATTCATTCACTGATTGTATTAAGGCTCTCATAACCCAATCATTTCTCCTCTATAGAAACCCTCTTGCACTGTCTCACACATGAGCTTTTGGGGAACATCTCTCATCCAAACCATAACAACCCCTGAGCTGCATCCCCAGCCCTTTCTATTTTTTAAATTTTGAGACAGGGTCTTGCTCAGATACTGAGGCTGTCCTTGAACTTTGATCCCCCTGCCTCAGTTTCCTGAGTTCCCGGGGTTATAGACCAGCTCCCCTGGGCCTGGCTTTTGTGGACTCTTTTGATGACTTGACCTGGTTTAGGAACATCTGTATGGAAAGAGCAAGAGATTGGAGACCAGCCACTTCCCAGGTGGGTGACCATGAACAGGTGTCCCCCAGTGTTAGGGTTATTAGCTACATGCAGCAGGCATCGATTGTGTTGATTTAAGCAGAACCGGAGACCAGGTAATTGAAAAGCTTCAGAGCTCAGAGCCACGTGTTGATGCCTAAACTCACTCTAAGGGTAAAGGCACTGTCAGTACCCACACCATTACTGCTCTCTCTTTTTTTTTTTTAATATTTATTTTTTAGTTCTCGGCGGACACAACATCTTTGTTGGTATGTGGTGCTGAGGATCGAACCCGGGCCGCACGCAGGCCAGGCGAGCGCGCCACCGCCTGAGCCACATCCCCAGCCCTGTGACCAGCTCTTAGATTCAACACTAGGACAGGAGTCGGGTTGGCAGAGCCTGTGTTACAGACCTCCTCTCTACCTGGGAAAATGAGTATCCGACCTTTTCAGCTTTGGTTTTTAGCAGAAGGTGACCTTGATGCATAGAGGGTTCCCCAAACATAACAGTGGTCACCAAAGGCATGATAAGTGCCCACTGCATCACCCAAGGACAAGTTAAGCCTGTTTCCTCATCCGTAAATGGGGCTAAGGGACTGATAAAGGGGCAAAGGAACTGTTGGGTGTGAAAGGCACAGCGGGACGTTATTTTATGGTAAATATCACTATTGGTGATTTGATTTTTTTTTCTAAAGTCCTATAGTCCCTGAGGTCCCCAAACCTTGGCATCTCGATGCCTCTGGTTTCTATCTGCAGGCTGCAAAATGGGGCACATCGACACGTTTTGTGACCCACAGGAAGGTCTGTAGGGGGGCCTGCCTTTCCCCTCAGGGGTTGGAAGTCTGTGAAAGGGTCCAGGAGTTCCCAAAGATCCCGATTTACATTGTCAGGGAAAGGCGGTTTTTGGAAGAGACGCTCCTTAGCTCTCAACGTCATTGGAATGATCTAACACATGTTGGATGTAAACCTTTTATTTAGTTTTAAWTTTTTTCTTTTAGCATTTAATATCTTTTCTTGATTCAGTGGCCAAATAAGGGAAYATCTACTCAGTCAAGCAAGGCACCTCGTCAGAAAGGAAATCCAGAAGGGTGATGCAGGGTCCCGGGTGACAGGACCGGCTCCTGGCCCCTGCAGAGCAGGGACCCCGCCTTCATGTACAAGGTGGCACCTCACCTCAGCAGCCCTTAAAGGATGTTTACTGAGTCATCTGCATTAGTTAAAAACAAGACCCTCCAATCCTTTTATTGCGTCCCCTTCACCACCCTGTCCCCCTTCTCTCCTCTCCTCCGTGTCAAACCTCCATTTAGCGAAACACAGCGGGGTGCAGCTCAGGGGAGGCCCTTGCCTAGCCTGTGCAGGCCCTGGTTCCATCCCCAGGGTTGCAATAACAGCAAAACCAGACCTGGTGGAGCCTGGCCCCAGGGAGACCCCACTGTGGAGAAGAGTAGAGTTTTAGGCCTCAAACATTCCAAACCTTTTTTTTTTTTTTTTTAAGCAGAAAATGTAAGAGCATTTTAAGAGCATACCTGTTTGGGGCTTGAGACCTCCAAGAAATGGCTTTGCCCTGGCTGGGTGTCCTGCCCCCCTGCCCCTAGGGTCTCAGCAGTGAATGAAGTGGGAGGCCTGAGAGTTGGACGGCCTCAGAAAGGGCTTTGATCACGGAGGCCCAAAGGCTGCTGCCAAAACGGCTTTGCCCCTGCCTTCAGCTTGAAAGCCAGCCCTGGGCTCCATGCAACCACAGACAAGCCTGTCCCCCGGTCAGCTCACAGAGGGGTCTGCGCTTCCTTGGGTCGGGATGGCAGGTCAGAGTGATATCACAGAGAGGGACCTGGTTTTGAGTCCCGACTTTGCAACTCCGGCTGCATGACTTTGGACAAATGCTGATTATTTTTGAGTTGGAAATGTTCATGTGCAAATGGACAAAATAATACCTTCCAGGGTTTTGGGGCAAACTAAACCTTATGGGCTGATTCATGTGAAAGCACATTACAGAGTACTGGGTACTGACAGATGTTGAGACAAAGAAGAAAGAAAAGATGGTGGTGGAGGAGGAATTTGCCGGAACGTCTCCAGAGCTATTCAAAGGAGTATTTTTATAGGGAGATAAATGACCTGTGTGACCTGGGCCAGTCCTCTTACCCCATTGCCAATCAATTTCAAAAGGTTATTCTGACCCCAAGACGGAGAGACTCCTAGATCTTGAGGGTAAATGTCACACTAGGTCACTTTCTATGACACAATATTTATTACCTTGTTCCCAAGATGTCATCGATTATAAGATGTATAATTGAGTCAAAAGAAAGAAAGAATAAAAAAAGAAATGGGGACCCATCCACTGTCAGACATGTTCTGATTTCAGGATCATTAAAACGTCACCAAACCTATGTGCCTACGTCATTACCCGATACCATCGGTAATTATGCTTGTTCCCATTTGCTAATTGTCTTCTGGGGGCCAGGCGCTGTACTCAGGCTGCTTTACTGGGTCTTTGACTTGTGATAACCCCACGAGGCAGCTGTTTCCATTCCCACCACTGAACATAGAAAGGTGGTCACTTTTCCAAGGTCACCCACCCTGAAGTAGGACTTGGAAGGCTGTCTTCTCAATCCCCAAATGTTGTCCCTAATATGCAGATTGTTCTCCCAGCTCAGGGTGAGAGATGAGCTCTCTACAGAGAAATGGTGTGTGAATGTGGTGCTTTGGAAATGTCGGGTTTCTGCAAGGTGACCAAGAAGGACGGAAGTAACAGAGTTGGAATCTAATCCGTCTCCAAATAAGGGTCGCTGGAGGGAAGGGGTTAACAGGACTGTCAGGGCTGTTTAGAATCCAGAGAAAYGAGACAGTGTCGGGCCAGTCCCCCTGGAGCCCGAGGAAGAACCCTGACCAGCCACCAGGCTCATCCCAAGCCCAGGGACAATGGGACAACGTTTACCTCTGCTATTCCTCGAGGTCACCCTACTCCTTCTGCTGACGCTTTAATAACAAAGCAGAAACTTTTGAGAAGAATTCTGTTTTCTTTTTTAACTTTAAAGGGGGGAAATGTGCTGACCAATCGTCATGAGCTAGCAAGCTAGCGGTCACCCAGTCCTGGAACAGGTTATAAATTAACAAGTTGGTTTTCTGGTTAGTTAGTCCAGGTTAGTCCCCCTGTGCCTGATGAGGGGATTCAGTGTTTTGCTCTGCAAAGCTGTGCCCAGGGCACTTCATCTGAGAAGACTCCGGGACACTCTCAGAAGCACTCCTTGACCCATGACTCCTGACCAGAAGAGTCAGGACTACATGTCTGCCTGTCTGTCTGTCTGTCTAGCTAATGTGTTTGTGGGCAGAAGGCCAAACCCCCATCCATGGGTCCTCAGTGTAGCGCCACCTCATCAGATGACACAAAAACGTTGCACAGCTTTTGGGAGAGTGGCAGCGGGGACGTGGGTGCGGGTGGGCTGGGTCAGGCCAGAATGAGGTTAAGGACCCCCTGAAGCCGCAGGGATGCGTGGAAGATGCCTCTGTCCACCCGACCCGAGGGACTCGTGGCAAAGCCGCTGGAGAAGTGCGCTGCTGGGTCTCCACTCTGCAGAGAGCTCCCTGGGCAGGGGCAGAGACAGCGCAGGGCCGGGTCACCGGGTCTCCACGTGGACATCAGCCGGGCCGAAGGTCACCGCTGTGGGCTGCTGGCTGCTGTTGCTGTTTGGGTCCAGGGCAGAAGGGGCAGCCGGCTTGGGGCTCTTGGGCTCCAGCTCCCGCCTGATCCTCATCTTCCTGTAAAGACAGGGGCACATGTGGCAGGGTCTTCTCCCTCCTGCGGCTGCGGCGGGGAATGGGCTGTGACTAGGGTGCTGGTGGAAAGGTTAGTGCACATCATCGCCAAGTCACGCGGCTTAATTGCTGACCACAGAATTTCACACCTGGAAAGGACCTCAGCCATCAGCTAGTCTGAACCTTCCATTTTTTTTGTTCAACTTAGTTATTTAGTTTTATTGGCTTAGGTTAATGAATGAGTAAGGTGTCAGACGAGTGGCTAAATTCACGACAAAATGAAGATGTTACCTGTCTTTTGTTCAGAGGTGTACTGTGAATKAAACTCTGCAGCCTCATAGGCTTGCTAAGTTTATTGCTAGAAATATGTAAATGCTTTAAAAATTTTTTTTTTGTATTAGAATTGAACCTGGGGTGCTTTACCACTGAGCTAAGTCTCTAGCCCTTTTTTAAATTTTTAATTTTGAGATGGGGTCTTACTAAGTTGCTTAGGGCCTCACTAAGTTGCTGAGGCTAGCCTCCAATTTGCAATCCTCCTGCCTCAGCCTCCTGAGTTGCTGAGATAACAGGCAAGTGYCATTCCTTGTTGGGCCCAACTTAAAAGCTTTTTATGTCATTGGGAATGTATTTAAAAGGTATATCCTATCTTCGCTTCCTGTGCCATAAAAGTCAATAACTAACAATCAGGACTTCTAACATTTACATAATATTTTATCTTGTTGATATAAGTGTTTTTTAAAAGTTTACATCCTCAGTGAAGTTGCACACATATTCCAATTAGTACCCCAATACACTTCACCAATTTACCAGTTGTTAAAAAGCTATCCTATTTGGTTTCCTCTCTTATCGGTCTTTCTGTCTCTCTCTCTTTGCATGTGCTCAGAGTTCTTAAAAATCATGAGCCAGAGGCAGACTGATCACATGACTTGGGTCCTTTAGGCTCCTATAAAGAACAAGGGCCTTCTCCAATATGTTCCCAACTCAACCATCCCACTCTGAGACCCTTCCATTTTAAAGATCATGGAGTGGAGACACAGGTTTTGACAGCACGAAGATGCACCCAAGCCTCCAATCCCAGCCCAGGCAGCAGTGTGGGCAGCAGGTGGTGAGTTGGGGTGTCCAACCAATGACAACCTGGGAGAGGGACCCAGAGCTCCAGCCACAAAGGAGAGGAAGGGAGGTCGACATCGGGGTTTGACTTGATGCCACTTCTTGGTTTGGGATAGACCCAATTTCTTCTCTTCCTGTTATTGTTGCTATCGTTATGGTTTAGATATGAGGTGTCCCCCCGGAGTTCCTGTGTTGATGCAGGAATCCCCAGAGGTGACACGGCTGGATCATGAGGGCTGAAGCTAATCGGTTCACCCTGGTGTGACTAGACAGTGTGGTGGCTGTAGGCTGGCAGAGGCAGGTCACTGGACTGTGCCCTGGAAGGGTCCATCTTCCCTACAGACCCTTCCCCCTGCTCTGTCCTTCAGCTGCCGGGAGGTGAGCAGCTTCCCTCTGCCCCGCCCCTTGGCCATGACGAATGGACCTGGCTGACCACGCACTGGACTTCTGAAATTTATAAACTTGAAATAAACTTTTCCTGCTCCAAGTTGTCAGGTGTTTTGGTCACAGCAACAAAAAGCTAACAGTTGTTACTACATGTAACCAGAAGGATGGGTTTGAATCCCCCCTGGGCCCATGAGGGCTGAGCCACCTTGAGCCTGTGACTGGAGCCCAGCGCCTGTTCCCACACTGAAGGGGACAAAGCCCAGGGCCCCCGTACCTGTTGTACATCTTCAGCAGGATCAGAACCACGGTGAAGATGACGATGACAACCACCACAATGGCGGCGACGATGGCTCCAGAACCTGCAGAGGGGAGGGGAGCCAAGGGGGCAACTGGCGCTCAGTCCGACGAGTGGAGGGGGAGGCGTCCTCTGYGCCAGGGACGGGGGACCGGGTCCTTCAAGCCCCGTTGGTGGGGAGGTGCGTGGCCACTCTCCATGTGGCCCTGTCCTGGGATCAACAGGGAGGGACCCGGRCATCCCCGTCTCGCCTCCTTGCCTAGGACACCGACTTATATTTGAATTTAAAGTAAACAAAGATAATATTTTAGTGTATGTCTTTGCCAGGCAAAATTGGAGACTTACTTATACCAAATATTTGCTTATTATTTGTCTGAAGGTCTCATTTAAATGGGAATTCCAAAGTTTATCCGGCAACCCTACCACCCAAAGGTCAGTTGGCAATGTCGGGCAGAGGTTTTGGCTGTCACAGCTTGGGAGCAGGGGACAGACAAGGAATTGTGACTAGTACCTAGGGGGTGGAGGTCAGGAATAATGCAAACCATCTTACGAAGCACAAGACAGCTCCCCACAGCAGAGATTATCCAGCAGAGGTTGGAAACCTTAATTAAAGTCTCCACACGAGACTCCACAGGGAGGGAGAGGGCCTCGTTGCCCTGTGGTGGGTGGCTGCCCTGCCCCTCCTCAGTCCCCTTCTGGTCTTTCTTCCTATGAATATTTTACATGATTTTTGCTTTGTTTTGACTTTAGTAAACCTTTTGGAAAAGCATGATGTCCATTCACAAAAGTACACAAATCATAAGCTGGGGGAATTTTCAGAGCACACACAGGTGTGTAAAGAGCCACCCTATCAAGACAGACCAGCACCTGGATCCCGGGAGGCCTGGCGCCCCCTCCAGGCAGCCCAGGGAACTCCCTCGTAGTCTCACTTCTACCACCACAGGTGAGTTCCACCTGGCTTTGAACTTCCTGTCAATGGAAAGAGTACCATTTAAATGGAAGAATACCTTTTTCACCTGGTTTCTTTTATTCAACATTATGTTTCTATGCACAAAATATAATAGTTGTGACATAATGTGTATAAAATAAGTGGGGGTGTATATATATTATTTTAACTTCTACATTTTATGCCATCACAAGTGTTCCTGTGTTCCCATAGTCTTCATAACCAACATTTACCATATGATATTTCATGGGATAAGTGATTACACCTTGTTAAACCATCTAGAATATGAGTAATGTGGTAATAAACCCTCATACAGCTTTTTGGTATTTAGGATTATTCCCTTAAAATGAGCTCCCCAGAATCACATAGAATGACTTAAAGTATGGATATTTTCATGGTTCCTGATATTTTCAATATCAGTTCTGACATGGATGTTGACTTTGAACCCAAAATTAGGGACCAAGAGGAGCTGATATTGAAACGAGAGTCTGAGGTACTAAAGCTACTAAGGACATTCGTCATAGCCTTGTTTTTAATAGTGAAAAATGAAAACAACATAAGTGTTCTCAACATTGGAGAATATCAGGAATTGGTGAAGATTATGGTGCTCCCGGACAATGGGGCTCCTTGTAGCCATCAAAAGCCATGAAGAAAAATATGTAATTACATGGAAAGATGATGATGATATTAGAAAACAGAATATGGAAAATGGCTGCATTTTTACCAGGAGACTATTTTTTTCCACATTTAGGAATATTTCCTTAGGATAGATTTTTCAGATATAGGATTACCAAGTTATTTTAAAAACATGAATGGGGATTTAGTATGCACATACATGGTCTCATTGGTAATGTAGACACGGGGAGATGACCCATGGTTCTTAGGTCAATGAGGTCTTTTTCCTCCTCCATTTTAGCTTGTATTTATAATTTCAAAATTCTCTACAAAAAATCACATTACTTTTGTATTATTGAAACAAGAAGAGGGTGTTTTGCTGTCTGTATCACAGGAAAAGTTTGAAGCTATGCTGGGGCTTCTAAGAATAGACTTGGGCTGGGTTGTGGCTTAGAGTGGCAGAGTGTGTGCCTAGCATGTGTGAGGCTCTGGGTTCGATCCTCAGCACCACATAAAAATAAACAATAGAGGTATTGTGTCCACCTGCAACTAAAATATATATATATWWAYWMACACACACACACAAAGAATAGACTTGGCTTATGGCAGAGTTTGGAGAAGAGACAGTGATGTTCTGGATCACTCCTTGGTGACCCCAGGGCAGAGTCATATCGAGAGTGGCCATGCCCCAATCCCCGCAGCCCCAACAGGGCTTGAAGGACCACGTCCTTTTAGTTAAGAAAAAACAGGAGCGTGCCCGTGTGACCTAGTGTCACTCTCTCTACTTCCCCTGGGGACTGCAGGGAGGGCTCAGCAGGCCTGCCCACCCATCTTGCAGCAGGATAACCTGGGGACCCCCCCCTGAGAGCGACTCCTTCTGGGTCTCCAAGGAGGAGCCGCAGCCTGTCATTAACCCAGCCACCTGCAGGTGCCACAGCCTGAAGCCGTCCCTGGGGAAGACCGTACTTTCGTGTGGGGAAGGCTGTCCCTTGGGTGGAGGTGGGAACAGTTATACACACAGCCAACTGAGGTGGCTGAGAGGGTCCCCTGCTTCTCCTTATATAATCAGTTGGTTTTCTGAACGAGCTGTCTTCAAATTTTTCATTCTGGGGACCCCTTGTTCCTGGCAAGTATCTCCCCAAGTATGTCCTCCTCCATTAATTTACTCCTTTGTGAGTTGAAGGGATTTTGGGGTGGGGGCACCAGGGATTGCACTCAGGTTCACTCGATCACTGAGCCACATCCCCAGCCCTATTTTGTATTTTATTTAGAGACAGGGTCTCACTGAGTTGCTTAGCACCTCAGTTTTGCTGAGGCTGGCTTTGAACTTGCGATCCTCCTGTCTCAGCTTCCCAAGCTGCGGGGATTACAGGTGTGTGCTATTGCACCACAGGCTGTTCTAAACGTTTATGTGGATTATCTGTTTGAGTCCTTACCACACCCGTGTGTGGCAGCTTCACTAATATCCCCATCTTACTGATGAAACTAAGGCCCCAAACAGAGGTTATGTGCCCAGGTCACACAGCCGGCCAGGGGTAGGACAGGGACTGAGACCCGGCACTCCATCTCCAGAGCCCATGCTCTGGACCTCTGCACCAGGAGCTGGCCTGGCACGGGCCCAGCCAGCCCTCCCCAGCCCTCGTGCCAAGGTGGCCTTACTCTTGTACAGGAAGTCTTCTCCCCTGGTGGTCATGTTCAAGAAGAAGGTGGCATCGCCCAGAGTGGTGGCTGTGGTCATSTCGATCCTGGTGACAATAAAGAAGAAACTTTGCTTAAAACCAGAATCAGCCACATATCGTCTTTATCTGGACGACGGTAGAATATTCCAGCTTGCAGATTCTTTTTTGACAGCCAATGAACACGGGGCCCGTTACTAGCTACCCCCTGGGGGTGTTGAAAATGATGCATAGGATTCCCAAAGAGTTTCATTCTTCCAAAAAGTTTCGATTCATTCAATGATGTTCATTCAACTCCTTCTGTGCTTCAAAATATCTAAACGGATCTTCTAGAAACCCTGTGAGGTAAGTTATTGTTGCTATTTAACTGATGAAACTGAAGCCCTCATAGTTATATGGAGCCCAAGTTTACCCAGTGGTATTGAACCTGGGGTGTCGACCTCCATTCCATCAGCTTTCCTTCACCCCGCAATAAGGACTGAAATGGTGCTTTTGCATTTAGGGTTTTTTTTTTTTTTTTTTTTTTTGTACCAGGTTTTGAACCCACGGGTGCTTAACCATTGAGCCACATCCTTAAAGTCCCCCCCACCCCGCCCCGCTTTTTTTAACTTTTTATTTTTGTGATAGTATTGTGTTGGGTTGCTTCGGGCAACGAACTTGCTCTATTGCTGAGGCTGGTTTTGAACTTGAGATCCTCCTGCCTCAGCCTCTCAAGTCTCTGGATGACAGGCGTGTACCACCAGGCCTGACAGAAGTTTTAATACCTAAAGCAGAATAAAAGAAGAGAGGAAGAAAGAGATAGATGAAAACTTTAGCTCCGGTTAAGTTGTCAGTCATATAAACCATTGGCAGTGGAAAGCATTTACTGGACAAGATGTACTTGAACAGGCCTTGACGGCTGGGCATAATTTGAGGACCAGAGAAGAAAGAACAAAGGTGAGAAAACCCTTAACGGGAAGAGAGAGATTACATTTTGACCATCTGCCCTGCAAGAGTGTCTCTGTCTGCAGCACCTCCGAACACTCGCTTACCCCCTCCATCACTGGGAAGCGGCTGTCCTCCACGTTTGGCTCTGGAGCAAGGGGAGGCTCAGAGTGGTAGAACGATTTTGCCAAAGTCACACAGCGAGGAAGAGACAGAACTCAGACTTAAACATACTCTTGGAGTGTACAATGTATATTGCGCACCCCCCCCCCCCCCGCCCCGACACCACAATGAATCAAAATTCACAATTCTAAACCAGGCGTGGTGGTGTTTGTGCATGTAACCTTACCACTCAGGGGGCTGAGGACGCAGGGTCACTTGAGTCCAGGAGCTTGAGATCAGCCTGGACAACACAGAGAGGTCCGGTCTCAAAAATACCAACAAAAACTCATAATCCTGTCATGCCGACTGGAGGGGTGAATCCAGAGTGTGCAGTTAATTCGATGTCACACCACCAGAAGAAGCAGGTGAGATTCTTGACCATGAAATACAGAGCCCACAATGATAATCACAAATAATTGCTCTGAACTATAGGAATTTAAAAAAAGGGGAAGAAATAAACCAGGGTTCTTTTTTTTTTTTGAGACAGGGTCCTGCTACGTTTCCCAAGCTGACCTTGAACTCCTGGGCTGAACCCCTTCCTGCCTCAGCCTCCTGAGTGGCTGAAACTGCAGGCATATATCACTGTGCCCAGGTACACATCAGTTTGGTGTTTGTTTGTTTGTTTGTTTTGGTACTGGGGATTGAACTCAACCACTGAGCCACATCCCCAGTCTTATTTTGTACTTTATTTAGAGACAGGGTCTCCTGAGTTGCTTAGCACCTTGCTTTTGCTGAGGCTGGCTTTGAACTTGCAATCCTCCTGTCTCAGCCTCCTGAGCCACTGGGATTACAGACGTGTGCAGCTGCACCCGGCTACAAATCAGTTTTTTGTTTTATTTTTAAAATATTTTTAGTTGTAGATGGACACAATACCTTTATTTTATGTGTTTATTTTTATGTGGTGCTGAGGCTTGAACCCAGTGCTCACATGTGCCAGGCAAATGCTCTACCACTGAGCCACAACCCCAGCTCCCCCATCTCTTTTTAAAAAAAAAATTATTTTGAGACAGGCTGGTGTCCACCTGGAGCTCCTCCTGCCTGGGAGTCCAGATATGTGCCTCCACGCTGAGCAGAATTACTTTCTAAATTACAAAGATTAATATAATAGGATCCCACGTACTTACGGTTCAGATTTAACCAATATTTATAGTCCCATTTTCTTCTGTTCTTTTCAGATTTCAACAACATTGAGATGAAGTTAAAGTACCTTTTCTATCTCAATCTCATTTTCTCCTTTCCCCAAGACACTGTGACCTTGACCTCTAGGGATATTCCCATAAAAAATGTACAATGTTTTCCGCCTACGTATCTATCCTTCACCATTCTGCACAGCGGGGCTCTGCACACTTATTAGATGAAGGTCAAGCACAGAAGCCACCCTCTGAGCACCTCCCCCTGCCGCTATGCCAGGAGCTGGGAGACACTAGTCTTGGGAGGTTCACTTCCTGGGCTGGGTGGGGAAGAGAGCATCTGCTGCGTTTGCTGGGATCACTCTGGGCCTCAAGAAAAGACCTGGTGGGGAGCTGGGGTTGTGGCTCAGCAATAGAGCGCTCGCCTAGCACGTGGGAGGCCCTGGGTTCGATCCTCAGCACCACATAAAAATAAATAAATAAAMTAAAGGCATTGTGTCCAACTACAACTAAAAAATAAATATTAAAAAAAAAAAAAAAGGAAAGGCCGTCCCCCCTGTGCATGCACCTGCACCTGGCACAGAAAGCACTTCCTGGCTTCCCATCCTATCTCCCTATTTTCATTGCCTACTGACACCAGGCTCTGCTGAAAGGCTGTGACAGTGGACATGCCATCAGCCACTGTGACAATCTCCCTGGCATGGCTGTGCTACTGTCCGGGGCTGGGCACCTCCAGCTCCCCGCCATGCCCCACAGTGGGCCTCCCTGAGAATCCCGGCCACTGGGCGCCACGCCCCACCCTCCCAGCTCTGATGGGAACAGGGCTCAGCCTTCTACTGCCCCATCCACTGGGTCAGGCCACTTGCTCCCAGCCTGGGGACTCTGGTGACTGTGGCCTGCTCTGGGGGCCTGGCAGCTTCACAATGGCCCTGTTGCCAGGCCTCCCCCAGATCCACAGGAAGGGTTCTGCCTTCACCTGCAAGCCCAGGTCTGTCTGTCTGTCCCTCTCCTCGAGGACCTAATCCTCAGATGCCCACCAGGAAACCCCGAGGGGCTCTGCCTGGGCCCCACACCCACCGACCTGTCTTCCCACCTGGCCTCCTGGTCTCCCAGTGCCTTAAACAGGCCCAGCCGGCCATGCCCCGGGGCCAGCCGCCCTGGGAGGACGCCCACCCCCAGAGCTGAGCAGCCCTGTCCTCTCCTCCCACAGCCGCGCTGCTCTGCCAGAACCACCTCCAAGCCTGTGTCGCCGTCCCTCGTCTTGCAGCTCCGAGCATCGCAGTGGACATTAGTAAATATTTGCTGAGCTAATTAAGATGGGGATCTGGGGCCCATCTCAGGGAGAGACCCCCTCTCACTTTCAGCCGTCCACCCCAGCAGGCAAAGGGTGTTAGCGCACATGTGCTAAACCTTCTGCTTCTACCCTCCACAGCATGGAGCCGAGAAGACTCGCCAGTGATGCTTTCTTACAATTCCTTCCAAAAACAGAAATGCAGACAGGTGGCCCCTGATCAAGGGTCAGTCTGGGAGAGAGACGTGGCACAGTCACTGGATAACCCAAACTGTGCCTGCGGAAAACAAATCCCAAGACCTGGGGCTATAAAGCTAACTCTCCATGCTTATAGTTTGGAAGCTGCAGAGCTGGGGTATGAACCTGGCCTTGCAAAGCCTGGGTCCCCCCACCACCCTGCCCCTGATATGCACACAGCGGGGTCCATGAGCAGTCACTGAGCACACACACACACACACGCACACACACACACACACACACACACACACACACACTGACCCGCAATGCAGCCTCCTAGGCCACAGGACACAGACTCCTCTGCAGGTCCTTCAGGGGTGACCTCCTGGGCACCGACTTCCAGGTGCAGACTCTCTCTTGAATGGGCCCAGTTCCTCCTCTTTCTGGGAGAACAGTGAGCAATCCCCGAGCAGATCTTGCCTCATCTCGGGACCGAGGGCTCTCAATTACATCTCTGTTCCTGCCACATCAGAGAAGGTGGGAGGGGGGTGGTGGAACGTCCATGGCCAAGGACGTGGGTGTTTTCATGTGTGCGGCCTCAGCGACCGTTGCCAACCGAGTGAAGTCCAGCAGGGGAATTTTAGAATCAAGTGTGGCTGAGATCAGGGTCCACGGTCACGGAAAACAGGGAGGGGGAGGCCGTTTTCACTGACAGAGGCTAAGTTAATGATRATCATGTATTTATTATGCGACAGGTGCTACACTTTTCATGCAAACTCTCATTTAATGCTCAAACCTATCCAATAAGGAGGGTGTAATCATGGTGTTCCTGCTACAGACGGGGCACTGAGGCTCAGTGCACAGAAGATACCCACCTAAGTCCACAAGGCTAATATGAAAGCCCTGGTAGGACTCAGGTGGCGTCTGATTTCGCAGCGGCTTCTCCATCGACCCTCACTGGGCTGCCTCCGGGGAATGCATGAGGTAGAGATGCCCCGAATCAATGTGAGGCCTTGGCAAGAAAACCCACTCAGGTTAGAGTTCAGCCGAGAGTCATGGCCCTTGTCCTAGGCCCCTGACCTTGACTATGACCTGACTGGACCCGGCACTTGGCCACACTCTGGACTCTGCCTTCAGCTGAGCCTTAAGCACATTTACAGAATCTGCAAGGAACTCTTGTTCCCGGGGTTGTTGACAAAGGGCCTTGTGTGGGAGGTCAGTTTGGGAAGCGGTGGAGGGTCATGAATGTTTACTTGTTGACTCATTCCTCGAGTACGAGAGCCATCTGGGAAATAAATGCTGCCAGACCCCCCTCTCCAAAGTACCTTGCTAGGGCACCCCTGTCACTTTGGCTKGCCTTGCAAGTTCCTGCCTGGATATGACAACAAGGACATGGCCAACCCCAGCAGACACCCCCACAAAGTACCAACTGCAATGCCAGAGCAGGTGACCCATGAAGGCCCTCGACCTGCCAGAACATTGGGGTGGACTTCTGCCAGTCACCTGAGAGATGCGAGGTCCCTGCCTTGATCTTCCCCCTACACCAGATCCTCACTGCTCCCCAAGTGGCCCCTTGAGCTGTTGGATGCTTCATCAGAAAACTGACCTTCATGTTGGCACCTCGTGATTTTAAAAAATTCAACAGTGACATTTTTATTTTTCTGAAGTTTATCATTTTTACAAAGCAAAAAGCAGGGATTAATCCAGCAGAACTGATAAAATTTCTGTGCCAGCTTTCACATAAGTCAGTGATTAGGACACTGGTAACCAGTGTAAACACTAAACACTTTGATGCCTTATGATTTTCACCCATTGATCCCAATTCTTTTTTCCCATCTCTCCTACACGACAACCTGTCACTCTTGAGAGCACTTCTCTGTGGGGAAGGTTGAACTTGCATGGATGTAAATTAGGTCGGCGGATATCAGCCCGGCAATTCTACTTCCCACCAGTAGGTGGCGGTAGCAGTTGGTTGTAGGGTGGTAAATGTCCTGTTGAACCCAAGTTTGCTAAGGTTTTCTGTCTCCTAGAAAACAGCAATTGTATGTTTTTTGATGATTTTCTTCTCTGGCATAAATAGTCCCAGCTCCTCAAACAATTCATGGGATGACAGTGTCCCTCAGGGGTCCGACATTCTTCTATGTCAACMTCTCCCTTAAGTATGATAAACTCATGACATTTCTCTTGAGACCTCTCTGTCCTGAGTGTGAATTCTACTGCTGACTAGCTGCGTGTCCTAGGTCAATTTTTTTCATCTCTTGATTGTCTGATCTGTAAAATAGGAATTACAATAGTCACAACCCCACAGGGACATCATCTGTTGCTGTCACACTGGGTTAATACGAATAGCCCATCAGCCACCCCAGAGCACCGCTCATCTGCGCCCCCTTGACCACTCTGAAACCCCTTTTCAGACTTATACTTGCTTATGGGCAAACAAAGCCCTAAGGTCTGCAAGTAAAGGGAGCTTCTTAGACGGCAAAGTGCTCTGGAGATTCAAGGCAACAGAGCAKCATCATGGATGGTGACAGTATTAGGAGGGGCTGTTGTCCGGTGACCAGGACTCCATTCTACACTCGTGGAAATGGCTTTGGGAAGTTTAAGCGCATGACTTTCCATGGGCCTTGCTGATTTGGTCCCTCGGGAGTGACATTCCAGCTCCTCCTGGAAGGCTCTTGAGAACAGTGTGGTGGCAGTTCCCATGTGGCAGTGTGGTCACATTGTGGAGGAGCTTGTGACCCAGGTCAGGAAGACCTGGGTTCTAATCTTGGCCTGACCAGTGAGCAGCTCCATGAGCCTCTTCTCCAGGACTCCGGTTTTCATCTGGAAACTGGGCTAACGTGCCCTGCCTCCTCCTCGGGTGCTGAGAACCCAGGAGCTGCCACCACTGGCCAGCACAGTGCCTGGGGGGTAGGGGCTGACTGCGGGGTCAGGGTCTGTTGCCCGTGCCTCTTCCCTTCTCCTCGGACCCCCTCCTGAGTGCTCCCTGCTCCTCCTGGGAGCTCCCTGTTCTCCATCTGGTTATGCACATCAACAGGTATAGACCTGGTTTGGCGTGGTGTCCCCAGGGAGGGGCTCTGAGGCAGTTCACCAGGGCTTCCAGAAGCTTCCWCCCTTCCACTGAAGACAGAGGCAGAGCCTATCGCGACACTCCCCCAGGGAGGCAGGAAATCCCACAGGGAGTCGCAGGGCCCAGGAGCTAGCTGCTGGATGGCAGGGGAGGAGCAAGCAGCAGATTTATGACTTGGGATGAGAATCAGGTGGCCAGGGTTCCCTCCGCCACCCACCTGCCATGTGACCCTGGAAAGGCCTCCTCCTCCTGGACCTTGGGTTTGCGGTCTGCAGAATGGCCCAGTGTAGAGAGAACCTTGAAGGACCTTTCCATACTGAGGTTCTCTGGCTCGGAGCCGCCATTCCTAGCTTAACTCGAGAACCACTGTTTCCCGAGAGGTTGTGCTTCTGTGTGTCGACTCCGGCGGCTAAGAGAGGGGAGCCAGCGGGAGCGGATCAACCTGGAAGGCAGGAAACCTTCCCTCAAGGCAGTGGACACTAGAGCAACCTGAGAAGTTCCTGGGAGGTTTTGAGTAGGCACCAGGGTGCTACGGAGTCCTTAGGAATGAATCTCCAGGTCTACTGGGGGCACAGGACCACGCTGCCCAAATCCGACACGCCGTGCCCTGCACTCTCCGTGGCTGTGGGGTCTCACACCACCTCATCCACACCCCCATCTGTCCTGCTTGTTTGGGGCTCTGTCCCAATGAGCGTCAGAAGTCCCAAAGTTGAGGTTTGAATTCCACGGACTGCCCTTGAACTTGAGTCAAGCCAGACACCACTGTACRCAGAATAATGTTCCCATGGCTGGTTCTCAGAAGTTAGGAAGCACGTGTTACGCTCCCTGTACCCACCGCGCTTTCCTCCCCGCTTCCTGCCTTGTCATTCATTCAGCCGGTGTCCGCCACATGCTCGGCTCCACGAGGATTGGGGGGCTCAGTCAGAGAGGAGGAGCAAGGGAGCAGTGTCCTCCCAGGATCTCTCCCTCCGTCCGTCTTTACCGGACATCTCCCTCCCCGTGCCGGCCCAGCTCTGATCACAGAGATGGGACGATTAATATTCCAGTGAAGAACCGTGGGAAGGAGAAGGGGTTCTGGAAGTCTGGGTTCCAGGCCCGCCTCATCTCCGAGGACTTATTGACTTGCTCGGTTTTAGATGATGCCTGAATCTCCTTCGCTTCTCTGATTTTGTGGCTCACGTCGTGAGGAAAGGGGCTGGAGGAGTCTCTGCCCAAGACCTGCTCACGCTCAAGAGCCACAAATAGAGGTCCCAGATGAAAGCAGTCACAAGGCGGATTTTGCCTAGTGCCAAAGGGCAGCACAGGCGTCTGTGCTCAGAGTCCGAGGGAGGAAGGGGCCGTGGGCGTCCTGGTTGGGACCGACAAGAACTGGAATGTGACCTAGGGCTTCCATCTGCCCCTCAGCCTTTGGGCCTAAGCCAAGGGCCCAGTGCTCAAAAGAGTTCTCAGACTACCTCCGAGCTCCCCSTACCTCACCAGGTGTCCCACTGTCCCGGGGGTGGGGAGGAGGGGGGAAGGCACAGGGTCAGAGTTGATGCCTCTCAGGGGCTCTGTGAGAGGAGAATCATTTCACCCCCAAGTTCTAGTTAGAAAGGGAGGGAGCTAACATGCAGGCAGACTCAAGGTGCCAGGACCTCGGGTTTCATTTTTATTTAGCTTCTCTGGGAGGCTTCTTATCTCTGTTTTTCTGGTAGGAATCAGAGGCTCAGAGAGGTTCAGCGATTTGCCCAAAGTAACAAGTGAATGGAGGAGCTGAGAATTCAACCCGGCCCTTCCACTTCCACACTGCGTGTGGCTGCAAGGCCTCCAGGAGGTAAGCAGGACTGCTGGGGCACTCTGGGGGTGGGTGGCCCTGCTGGGAAGGACTCTGCTCATTGTTCTTTCTACCTGTTGATGTTCTGAGCCCAAGAGGTACAGCAGGCCCCAAGGAGAGCAGGGCTTCCTAGGCCCGGCACTGCTGGTATTGGGTCTAGATAGTTCTTTGTCGCACAGGGCCGTGCTGTGCATTGTAGGATGCTTAGTAGCATCCCGGGCCTCCAGGAGGCCAAAAGCATTCCCGGTTGTGACGAACCCCTGGTTGAGAACCACTGGAATAGAGCCACCAGACCTATTCTAAACAGTTCCCTAAGCTCTTCCTCCAAGAAGTTTCTAGACAAGAAGGAACACACTCAGTCTGTTCTTACATCTGTGGATGAACAACCAGTAACAATGATGATGCCGATCACCACAACACAATGGGTGCCATTTAACAAGTGCTTACTGTGTACCAGCTACCATGCTAAGTACCATCAATGAGTGCTTACTGTGTACCAGCTACCATGCTAAGTACCATCAAAGAGTGCTTACTGTGTACCAGCTACCATGCTAAGTACTTTACAAATACTTTATACATTGTTTCCACAGATATTTCCCTATTTTACAGATGAAGGAACTGATGCTCAGTGAGGTTAGGTAAC